TTTTTTCTTTGTGTTCATTTGATTCCAATTCAAGCTGTTATAATGTCATTCTTCAATGCTAAAAACGGTTATAGTAACAATATAACACATTAATTATTCAAATAAGCGTTTTTTTTTTCTTCACATTTTAAGCTAGTGGTGTGCCGCGAGATTTTTCCAATGAAAGAAGTGTGCCTTGGCTCAAAAAGTTTGAAAAACACTGCTATAGAGTGATCCCCAATCACACTTACGCACTAACACAAAACAATATACGCATACAACGTTAGACACGAGCATACGCCGAGGTGGTCAGCCTCTGCGGGAAGGCAAAGCTTCCTTACCGTTTACGCTTAGCGAGAAACGATATCTAAATTTGCTGATGCTCTCACAGATGCGCTTGGGCTCTGTGTCAATGGGAATCGAACTTACCCCGTACCGCTAACCACAAAACGGTACTCGAGCTAGCCTACTCCTTTTCGGCATTAACTCGTCTAATTCCGTCACTCAGTGGAGATAACCGACTACGCAACGGTTTCTCCAGCACGCCGACTGACCTTATTTTTCCGACAATCATCCCGGTGCCGAGCTGAACCCAGGTCCGTTGGATGGTGGCGCTTGCTCGCTCCTCACGGTGTCCGGTGCGGGGCTGGCTCCTTCAGGGAAGAAGTTTCCACGGAGTCTGGTCGGCTTCGACGGCGCAAAACGCGTTATCAGCCACGGATCATCCACCGGAGGAAATCGGAGAGTCGAATAAGCAAGCTCAAATCCGATCGAACAAGCACATCATCCTGCCGGCAACGCCAAGTTTCTGTCAAAGATTTTCTCGGACAAAGTTAAAGAAATGACTCGGCACACAGGAAAATTGTCTTCAATATCGGCGGGAGGGGATCTCTGAGAGCGAACGACGGTAGTTGCTCCGATGATCACACTCTCGGCTCCCTCTCCGCCGGTTCGAACTTTTATTGCAAAATACAAGAAAGACACTGCCCCCGAGATTTGCATACCGCGCCCCCCGGTCCGGCCCCTCGGTAGTGATCTGATCTACCCGAATACACAAGTCACAGACTTTGCTGATGACAAATGTCCACCTGGGCGCGACAGCTGTTCCCAAACTGTCTTTTGGTATTCAACAACTCTTTGTTCCCAATTTGTTCATTCCCACTCTGTGATTGAATCTAGCCTTCTTCCATCTGTTCGCCCCCCTTGCTTTGACGTGATTACTCAAGAAAAGGCCCTCCGCCCAAACGGCCGACACCTCTGCGCTGAGTATGTCCAGACATGCCCAAATTAACCGAAATTTTAAACATGATACAATTTTGTTGATAGATTTCTCTATCACCCGGTCAGCTGGGTTTTTTTTCGACATGTCACAAGGACGCAGTGACAGCTCAAAAGAAGGCTGAAGTGACAGCCGAAGAGTTTTTTTCTTCACTCAAAAAAGATGAACACTGATTTTAATGGGGAGGAATGTCGGCGCCATTTGACTGTCAAGTGTTGGACAGCCCCGGGGCGCTTGTATTTTTTGCGCCTGTAGTGGGCAGCATTTTTCACAGCCCTGCTTTGTTCAGCGGAAAGGTCGGTGCAGATGGACAGCCTGCGGCTGGATGGATGCATGGCTTGAGGAGCCGACGATGAGAAGAAAAGAGCGTCAGCGCAGAGCGCAGATGCGTATGTGGAACTGGGAATCTACGCTTGGAATTTCAGCAGATTTACATGGGACAGGAGAAGAGAACCAATCTCTTTTTCGTGAATGGACGCTACAGCTTCTTGTTGCTTTCATACCTAGGTTGTGCAGACGTGTGCACATTTTCAGCATGATGTCTTTGATCCACCGGTGAAAAGGACACTTTGATTCGCTCCTCTTTCATCTCTAACTGTTTCAAATAAAGTGTTTGCATGAAAAGTGGTTAAGATTGCACGACTTGTCTTATGTGTTGTGTTGTATTATTTTGTCATTTTATGTTAACTGTTCTTTTGATGGTAGTGCAGGCACCCGCAGCGGCTCCTCTTGTTGTCTTGTCTGGTTGAGCAGGAGGCAATTTCATCTGTGCTGTATGTTATACATACAGCGCATTTGACAATGAAGTTGTACTTGAATTGACTTGATGTTCTCCCCGTGCCTGCTTGGGTTTTCTCCGGGTACTCCCGTTTCCTCCCACATTCCAAAAACATGCGTGACAGGTTGATGGAACACTCGAAATTGTCCCTAGGTGTGACTGTGAGTGTGAATTGTTGTTCGTCTTTGTGTGCCCTGCGATTGGCTGGCAACCGGTTCAGGGTGTGCCCCGCCTACTGCCCGAAGACGGCTGGGATAGGCTCCAGCATGCCCCATAAAGTGGATCAAAAAATAGATGGATGGATGGATATAACTACCGTAATAAAAATTCACAAATGCCCTCTGAAAGCTAATTTAAACTAACTCACTTTAAAAAACAAACAAAAAAATACAAAAATAACTAACAAAAAATCCCAAGCCATTATAACCCTGCTCTGTACATATACGAGTGACCCTATACAGTCAAAGTAATTAACACTAAAAAGTAGATATGTTTGAGGTATCGTCACAATAATTGCCTGAGTCGTTTTTTCCACTTTTTTTCAGAAAAGAGGAAAAACTGAACCACATTCTGAATTGAATGATCTGTAAACAAAATTTGATTGAGGTTATTATTTTAAGAGGCTGACGAAATAATACGATGTCCTTTATTTGTCCCACACTGGGGAAATGCCTTGTGTTGTGATTGTTTCCAATTTGTACGCCACAACAAGTAGACAAAGTGGACCCACCTCGATTTTCTTGCGCTTCTCTTCAAGCTCGTCCATCAGTGCTCGAACTTTCTGGTTGATCTGCACCATGGATGCCACGCCTTCTCTCAGTTCCTCCTGCGAAATTGATTTTGAGTGATGAAAAATATTGGCTGTCAAAATATGTCTGAAAGCATTACACCCAGTGGGGATTTTATTGAGGGGCAAGTCATGTAGTGGTCCACCAGATACAGTACAAGATGAAGAGGTTGAGCTTTATGAAGTCTACCAAGCAACAAGTGACCTTTATAAGTTGTTCTTCATACTCGAGACATGTCAGTTTCGATGGGTTTGTTCCACGGCAAACTCATCCAAGTATCCCTTTGTGGATATATATGCTGTGTGAAGCTTCCTTTTCTGTTTCCAATATGCAAAGCAAGTGCTTTGCATATTGGAAACAGAAAAGGAAGCTTCACACAGCATATACGAATGGATAGACAACAACTGATGAATGGATAAGTGAATGAATGAATGGATGAACACATATGGGCAAATGAATGAACCTATTAATGATGAACTGCTGAATAATCAATGAACAAATGAATCAATGAATGGTGAAAAGATGTAATGGGTGAATGAATTACCTGATGAATGAATTCATGGATGCAGGAATGAATGAATGAATAAACGAATGAAGGAACAGACCTTCTTTTGCTGCAGGGCGTCTGTTAGCGGTTGCACCTGGCAGGACTGATGTTCTCCAAAGACCTTGCAAAGGGAGCAAGTGGCCAGCTGACAGGTGATGCAATAGATGCTGACCTTCTCATCCGAGTGCTGGGAGCACGTCACCTGAGCAGGAAGTGAAGGTGGGAGTGGGAGTGGCCTGAAGAGGAAGTCAGGCCTCAAACAAAAACTCAGTTGTCATCTTCCGGATGTGTGTTGTGTTTTTTCCACCTGTCGTCATTATGGCAGACTTTCCGTTTGTAGATGTCGATGATACTCTCCACCAGAAGATTGCGCTGCAGGCTGAAGACGCCGTGCCTGTCCATGACTACTTTATGGTGACACGATGGACAGCGGAAGTTTCCACTGCCCTCCGTCATGGTGATTTGAGCCTGAAACAATCAGGGGAGGACACAATGTTGTCACTGGAATGATGCATGCACAGAAATGTTAGTATCGACACAATGTTCCCACGTGGGCTAGTACGGCACTAAGCCAGTGATTCCCAAACAGGATATCATGACACAGCGGTGTGCTGTAAGAGTGTTTCCCGACCAGGGGTAACGCATACCCCTTGGGGTACGTGAGCACATTGCAGGGGGTACATGAAAACCTTTAAGAATTCATTTCCTTAGACCTGTGGCTCATTAAAACTCAAATGAGTGATGAAAAAGTTTTGTTCATCATATTTGAAGTTTAAATGCCTGTGTATTGTCCTCGCTAAGATATATGAGCTTCATCTGTGCAAGACTGTATGTTAAACTCTAGAGCAGTGGTTTGTAACCTGGGTTCGATCGAACCCCAGAGGTTCGGTGAATCGGTCTCAGGGGTTCGACGGAGCCTGTGCCATGGAGATTTAGACACAGCCCACTCAACGTGTCAATTAGTTATAACACGCCCACTTGGCCATCACTGGCTGCGGATGATCACATTGCATTGCTTGTCCAATCAGTGCTGCGGGAAATGTAGTTCCCTCAGTAGTCAGCGTGTGACTGTCGTGGTAGTACATCGTGTGATTTAAAAATAAAGAAAGGAATAAATAAGTCTTAAACACATGCTATGTCGAGTAAAAAAAGAAAGTGTTCAGACGAATATGTACAACATGCATCATGGAACATGATGGGACTCTGCATTGAATCATATTTTTATTTTTCACTCAGGGTTCGGTGGATGCACATCTGAACTTGTTGGGTTCGGTACCTCGAACATGGTTAAGAACCGCTGCTTGAGAGACATGATGCAAAATGGCTTGAAAGCTGTTTGTAGCTTTTTTTTTTTTATAAAATCTTGACCTCAGCGTTTAGAAGAGTGAAGACGACAGGCATGGGTCCGAAGTGATCTCTTTTCTTTCCTTTTTTTTGTAACTTCTTTGTGAATATATCACTTCCTGCTTTACATTGCTTGGGCCAAAATAAAACATTTTTTTTCAAAATCAGAGCCAGAACAAATGAACTACAACCCCTGAAAGGCAGAACAGCTTGTTTAAAGGGGACTTATTCAAAGGAGCTTCAGTTTGTTTTGTGTGTGTGTGTGTGCGTGTATATTTATTTATATATATATATATATACAGGCGCTCCCCGCTTTACGAACTTTCGTGTTGCGAACAACGGTACATACGAACATTTTTGCGGGTACAGGTATGTCGAAAAATGTTCTCGGACAGAGATGCTGTCAGTTTTTGTATTGCGCGCCTTTTTC